TTGCACCGTGTGTATATGTATATGTATGATAAAAGAAGATTGCTTTATGGTACGCTAGCCATTCACAATCACCACTGCGAGTTGTATAAACAGCTAGATTGACCATTCAAATCAACTCACTCTCTGTTGGCAGAAAACGCTTATCCACGCTCTCTCCCGCCCTGTTTCGAGGGTCTAAAATTGCTCTCTGTTTGTGACCTTCCTCTCTTTCTATTTCTCGTAAAGCAGTCATTTCGGTAGCTTTATGAATATTGAAATGATAAATTTGATTACGGACATATTTTAATTTCGAACTGAATAAAAGTAAGGTAGGAATCATAAACCATAAAACGATGCTAAATAACGAATGATCACTCTCTACTGTGCTTAAATGAATATTATTTGGTAAGATGTTTATGATCAGTCGCTTTTTAATGCAACTACACACCGTCAATGCGTGCTACTGGCAGGAGACGTGTGCGGAGTTACTTTCGCATCACTCTAAAAATGCATTAACACAGACCTTAATTTTTCCACGGTCTGAAACTGACATTCATTTTCTCATAGTCTGCTAGTAGTGATACCCATAAATTCTCCGTGGGGTTTATTTCTGGACTGCTTGCAGACTAAACGAGTATATATATATATATATATATATATATATATATATTTATATGTATAATCCAAAATCCTGTTGAATACCACAGAGTTCTGTATAAAATTTTGAATCAGGGGACATTAAGAAGGTTTGAAGAAAGTTTATGACCGGTTCCATGTTTCCTTGCAGTTAGATCGCAGCCCCACATCATGAACGAATCACTGTGGAAGATTAAACTTCTAAGGATTTCGGTTTATTGTGCCGATAGCAGAAAACTCTTTCGGGGTCAACAAAATGAAACTTCTCGTATTTGCAGACGACTGTGTTTCGCTGATCAATCCATGTGACCTACATTTATGCCAATCCGGAGCGATCGTCCACGTCAGATTTTATGAGGCGTTATCTTAATAAGTTTCCGTTACTGAATTTGTAGTTTACACTGTATATGTTATTGCGTGTTCGTTAAAGGGCTATTCAGGTTGATTGAAACTCAGTCTTTCTGCTCTGTTTCACCGATTCGAAGCTGATCGTAGCAAACGCATGTGTGTGCGTGTACGCGCGCCTACGTCTTGATATCATTAGACGTCTTTCGCTACGACCGAATTTTTTTTTCTGGAATCGGCATCGACAGTATTTTCATCACCGTTGGTTTGCAAATGTTCAGTCCTCAAGCCGTTAGCCTTCCACTGACATTTATTTCTCCATAGGCAAACGTTGTCCAAATTTC